AAATTTAGATAAATCATTAGAAGTTTCTAAATCAAAATTCTATTTTAAATTTATATAAATATGAATCCAAATTCATCTACATGCATCACAAAACTTTTATTTAAAACTAATATAAAAGTAAATAATTTTCAGCCAACATGCCTTCCATCCGAAAATTCTCTTTCTCGAACTTAAAAAAATATTTAACAAAATTTTTATCAAACAATCAATTTAACAACATGCTTTATAATTTTGCAACACCTGAATCTCCTGGATTTAAATATCTGTACCTCTTTAAAGAAGAATTTCATGCAGATATGAGTGAGATTCTTAGAGAAGGTCTAACCATACGTAGAGTTTGTGAAATTATCTTACAGAATCTTGACAAGAAAATGCTTGCAGACTATAAAATTAAACTAACACGATTTGATGAAATAGCAGTCTTTGATCTTGAGATTCCAGATCAAAATGATTGGATTCCTGAAGAAAGTGAATGGTTTGGAATAAAAGATTTCCTTTTTTTTGCTGGAAAAAATTTTCAAACATATAAATTCATGTAAAATGTATATATTTATATTTATATTTATATTTAATAAAAAATTATTTACCTTAATAAATAAATCGCTCAGGAAAATGTTTATACAAAAAATTCCAGTAATGAATTTGAAATGCTATTACAATAATAATATTTATTATAATTGCACAAATCCAAAAGAATGTTTTTGAATAAACAATTTTAGTAATAAGTTGGTGAATATATGTATCATATTCACCAAGAGACAGATTTGTCAAGAACAAACCCAAAAGAGAAAAGATAATAACAATGATAATAATAATTTTTGAATACATTTTAAAGAAGTTTTAAGTTTTGATTTGAAAGATTTTAAGGTTTTGAAATTGTAAAATGAGTAAATCGTAATGAACAAGAGACAAAATTTTAACTTTTTTTATAACAAAATTTTTTCATATATTATTTTCTTGAACATTTAATCTTTAATTCTTCATATCAATTAAAACAAATAAATTCTTGTGCTTTATCAGAATTGGTATAACAGAAATCAAAAGAATGTTGGGTCTCGATCCTATTGATGACAAATTGATTATAAATCAATAAATATGAATTTAGATAAATTAAAAAAAAATGCTTTAAAAATAAAAAAACAAAATTGTATCTAGATGAACTTTATTTGAAATAATTATAAATACGTATTTATTTTTTTGTAAAATATAAATTATAAATTTAAATATCAATGATTTTATTTATTTTTATTATGGGAATATATTTTGGATATTTTTTCTTAAAAACTGTTTTTTGAATAATAATATCAATAAAACTAAAAAAAGGTAATGATAATCAAGATAACAAATATTCTAAATTAAGAACAATACAAAATCTTTCTTATTATCTAAATCTAAAATTACATAAAAATAAATAGAACTTTTTTTTCTTCGATTAAAAAAAAAAGATCTTTTTTTATTTATATCTATAAAAAAAAATAATCAAATACTAAAATGTCAGAACAAATTTTGTATAATAATGGCAAAAAGCTAAAAGAGATTCAGAATCTGCATATAATAAATAGCGTAATAAACAAAATCAAATATCAAAATATGGAGGTGCTATACCTTATAATCTCATACAACAAAAAAAAGCATATAAAAAACAATATGATAATCTAAAAAAACAAGAAAAAGATGCAGAAATTCTTTATCTAAGATGCAAAAATTCTCCTCCTGCATTGAAATTCGAATCTGAAACAGATTTGAAACCTCTTTCTAAATTAGAACCTGAATCTGATATAGATTTAGAACCCCCTCCAGAATTAGATTAATTATTTTTTTTTTTTAAAAAAAATATTTTTTTTTATATTATATTAAATTAACTGATAACGTATTTTGTATAAAATATTTATTTTTATTTGTAAAATAATTTATATATTAAATAAAATAAACAATATAAAAAAAATAAATAAAACTATATAAATAATATAAATAAAAATAAAATTTACTGATTATCTAGATAATCGTTGCAATCCTTTTATTTGTTCTTTGATATCAACTGTTTCATGATTATTTTTCTCCATCTCCTTAATTATTTCACGTAATAATGTAGGTGGTAAATTTTTAACTACACTAAAAATTTCTTTAACATTAACATTTATCTCATCAATCTTTTTTTCTTTTTCGTTCATTTTATCCTTCAAGTCTTCATTTTCCTTTTCAAGTTTGTTCTTATCTTTTGTAATTTTTTCTAATTGGGCCTTTACAGAATCATAATCTACGTGATTTTTTTTACATTTTTCATAGAGATCATTTAATTCTTTTTTATCTTTTTCTAAATTATCAATAACTTGTTTTTGTGTTTCATACATTAATTTATACCTATCACGTTCATTTTTTAGGTTATTAATCTCATCATCTTTATCTTTAATTTTTTGTTTTAGTTGATCAATCTCAATTTGATGATTATGTTTAAGCTCTTCGATAGTTTTTTCTAATCTTTTATTTTCTTCTTCAAGTTCTTTATTCTTTTCTTTTTCTTTTATATTTTGATCTATAAG